GGCTTGGCTGAGGACCAACTCACACAACACAACACCACTTGACAGCCGCTCTGCTCTCTCTCTCTCTCTCTTCTCCTCTATTTACTAGGGTTTCGCCTTCCTCTTCTCTCTTTCACCACTTCCGACGGGCCGATCCTCCGCAAATTCCTCCCTCACCGCGCCGCACCTTTCTGTCGATTCCTCCTCCCTCACCGCCGCTGCTGGTTAGAACTTAGAGCTTCGCCTTCCGCCGCCCTCTCTCTCTCCCTCACACACGACGGCTCCTCGCCCCTCACCGCCATCCTCCCTCGCCGGCGATCCTCCCTCAACCGTCGTTTCAAAAGGGTATCTCTCTCTCGGGATTTCGATATTGGGGGGTTTACATACACACAATATATATGTATATGTGTTGTGTATATAGTATCTCTGTTCTTTGATTCGATTCGATTTTTTTTTCATAGTATCTCTGTTCTTCGACCTCTGTTTTTTTTTTTCTCTCTAAATTTATTTATTTTAAATATATATATTATATATATTATATTATATGATATGGTTTTTTAATCTTTAATAATCTTTAATTTTGAATCTTGCACATATCTGTTTTTGAATTGCTTTAATAATCTTTATTTGAATCTTGCACGGTGAACTGTATTATTAATCTTTATTTGTTGAATCTTGCACATATCTTGTTATTATTAATTACCTGGAGGCTGAACTGTATTATTGATTTGAATATTTGACAGATTTACCAGCTGCCCATTTCTTCATGATCCTTCGAGTGTGTGTCTTGGTGCTGTATTTGAAGCTGGTATTTGATGCTGCGGAATTTCTTGATGGTGTGATTTGACTTTTGCACTCATGTGCTGCTGTAGTGCAATCTGAGTTGTAATGCAATTTGTGAATATTCAAGGAAGGAGTTACAGTCAGTCAAAAAAAAACGGATCTTGGGGTCGATCGTCGGTGATGCGGGATCCCCTCGAGCGCTAGGGTATCACTGGGGATCGGGGATGGAAGTGTAGTCCCCGGCCCACTTCGCCCGCTTGTCAATCCCTATCCTCACTCACTCTCTGGCGTGCTCGATCTCTCTCTCTCTCTCTTCCTCTCAAACCCTCTCCAAACCCTATTCTGTCTCAAACTCGAATCGAATCAACCTTTCTCAACCCCTTTGATCTATCTCAAGAGTGATTGGTGATTCATCTAGATCCAATCTCAGAGCGATTTACAATTTCGATTTTGAGATTTCGAAACTCCCCCGCCTCACCATCTGCACCGGCGAAGGAGCGAGCACCATCGTTCTACGAAGGTGAGCACTACCGTTTCGTCTCTCTCTCTCTCAGTTTCATATTTCTCTCTTTCTCTCTCTCAAGCTCTTTCCTTCCCGTCGAGTTTGTCAGATAACGAACCAGGGCATTTTTATTTAAGAATTTCGGGTTGTTTGACAAATTTGCTGTATAATATTGTGATGGAATCTCAATTAAATTCCACTCCAGTTTTCCTGTTTCATGTTCATCCACTTCTTGATGGATCTCCAATTAGTTGTATTTTGTGTGTAGCAGGATTACTATTTGTGGACTAGATATTTGGGAAAAATGATATTCATCACAATTCTGTTTGGAGTAAGCTATCTGTCTTGTCTCTACGACTAGGAGATTTATATCTGAAAAGCAAATGGAGACATCGCAAGAAGAGATTGGGCTGGCGAATCAGATTTTGGAACTGGAGAAGCAAAACGAGGCTATGAAGAAATCGAATTTCGAACTTATGTGTCCAGATTTGAGTGAGGATTAGAAAACATTTTGGGAGATGAAGTTGAGGAAGGAAATTCAAGAGATGAAGTTGGGGAAGAGTTTACTCCCGAAAGCTAGGGAATTTGATCCCAAGACTCAACAATCTCAGTATAACAAATTAGAGGCTCAAGTTGCAGGCACTCGTATCAGAGTGCGCCAGGCTTGCATAGTTACTGGAAATAAGCTGCAACTAGACCTAAATGTGCAAGACGACAAAAATCATTTGACTTCTGAGCTTGTGAGTTATTTTGTCTCTCATTTTGCTCTTTTGTGCTTCGGTTTTGTAGGAAAAATAAGAAATATTATGCCTCAGAAATAAATGAATTTGATATACCTTTTCATTCAAACCAAATCCATAGATCATACGTGTTTCTATTGATATTTTTGAATAATTCTTAGCAATGGAGTTGAACAATTAGAACTATCCACACTTGTCACAGTACAAAGGGCTATTATGTGTTTTTATGGAAAGAGAAACAAGAGTCTAGGAGAGAGAAAACACATTAAATTCTTATTCTTCCAAATATAATACGTATATTATGTGGGAGAGTTATAACACCCATAACTCTATCTCGTCAAGCGATGAGATAGTGGGTTAATCACACAAGCGTACTTCGACTAGGTCTCTCTTTATGGGTCTTAGGTCATGCTACCATGAGCGATCCAATCAGGAATGGATTTTAAATCCGACCCAATTTCCAACAAGTTTGGTGGTAGATAAACTTGCATATGAAACTACTTTTGGCTTGTTGAAGCTTCAAAAGTTTAGGAATTTTAAAATCCATTCCTGATTGGATCGCTCATGGTAGCATAACCTAAGACCCATAAGGAGAGACCTAGTCAAAGTACACTTGGATTAACCCACTATCTCATCGCTTGACGAGATAGAGTTATGACTCTCCCACACAATATACGTATTATATTTGGAAGAATAAGAATTTAATATGTTTTCTCTCTCTCCTAGACTCTCTTCTTTCCCTCTCCATAAAAACACATAATAGCCCCTTTGTACTGTGGCGAGTGTGAGTAATTCTAATAGTTTTACTCCATTGCTAAGAATTATTTAAAAATATCAATAAAAACACATAATAGCCCTTTGTACTATGACGAGTGTGGATAGTTCTAATAGTTCAACTCCATTGCTAAGAATTATTCAAAAATATCAATAGAAACACGTATGATCTATGGATTTGGTTTGAATGAAAAGGTATATCAAATCCATTTATTTCTGAGGCATAATATTTCTTATTTTTCCTACAAAACCCACACCTTTGATTGAACTAGCTCAAGAGTGGAAGAATCCACATAGAAATGATGTTATAAAGAATTCACATGCATTTCAAATTTAATTTAATAAAAGCAGATTATGACAACTGCCTTCTACAAGGCTATCATAACGACATTTCAAATACGTCATTGAAATATGAAATAAACCTTTTAGAAGCTTCCAATTTCTGTCTCAAGTCAGTAATCTCAGCTTCTGCAGAGGCTAGCCTTTGCTGGGAGATGGCCTCAGCTCCAATTGATGTTTTAACCTGCAATTCCAGAGTTTGCTCATCAAGAGAAGGTTTGAACATGAGCCCACGCCTTGTATTCAAAATCTCTAGCTTCAATGACATCCCTACAATTGCAAAATTGAAATATAAGCAACCTACGTACATGTAGTGAATTCAGAAAACCAACATTGAAAACCTAAGCAAGAATACACCAGGTATGGCGGAGCTAGGATTTTGCTACAGGGGGGAACCATTGAGTTAAAGTCATGGCAAGTTCTATCACAATGTAATAGATTTCGATTTTCAATTGGCAGTAAAACAACTAAAGATGAGCCTGATGTCACAGTCATATGTTTAAAGTTATGCTCAAGTTAATCGATTTTTTTATTTGTTTTGTTGATTTTTCATTATCTCTCTCCCCTCTTTCGCTTCTTTTATTCTCTTCTCTTCATTCAGCAAACACATACACACACTTTTAACTTAATAATTTCTATAATGGAACTTCAATTCCAAAAGCAGCAAAGTGACGGTTTCTCAGGTGCCAAACAGAGTAGCAACACATTCAGAAATAGAGGTGGCAACAACAACACCAACAACAAAAGCAAGTTTGTTGGGGTGAGACAAAGGCCTTCTGGGACATGGTTAGCAGAGATCAAGAGCACAACTCAAAAGCTTAGGTGTTGGAGGGTTGTTGTCTGAACTTAAATCTCTTAATTATAAGGATTTTATCTAGTTTACCAATAAATTACGAAGGAAAACTAAGATCATTAGCGACAAGATACAAATAATCATCATTTATTTTCCTTCCCCCACCCAAAAAAATAAATAAATAAATAAAATAAAATAAAATAAATAACACATATGATCATCACTCATGTGCGAAGTTCATAAAATTCATTCTAAAATCCTTAGAATATGACTGCGTTTCAGATTAAAATTAAGGACCACTAATTTGATTTAAAAGAGTCAACACAAAGTGCATTTTAGGTACAAACTTTGAATTGTTAGATGTCCTAAGCTCCTGGTACGAGTAGAAAACAATTCCATTTGTTCTTATTTCTTAACATGAGCTGTTATGTTTCTCAAAGGCTTAGGCAAGTCCGAAAGAGATCTGACACAGCACCGAAAAAAAGAGAAGAAAAATTAAAGAAGAAGAAAAACGAGTAACCAATTAACCATCTTTCACATGAAATTAGATTTGCAAGCAACAATATATACCGAATTAATCGAATGATGAAATTGATTCAAAATCAAATCAAAATCAAAGAGAGATGAGAGATGAAAACCCTAGAAATCAAAACCCTCGAAATCAAGTCAAAATCAAAGAGAGATGAGAGAGGAGAAAATGAATTAATCAAATGGAAACTGAATAAGTTAGAAACTCACAAAGAAAATCAAATCCGTGGAAGGGGCTCAGAGTGTTTCTTGCCAGCGACGATGCTGAAATCGCAGGCGGAGGGCTTTTCGAGGCGATGTTGGTTTGGGTGATGAGTGATAGGCCTCCGAAGACGGTGACCGTAAGAAACACTCTGCCCCTAACAGTATTGAACGCACTCCAGCTCCTTCTCTCTCTCTTATGTGCCTTGTGACCCTAGCCTTCTACTTTCGTTTTGATTAGAAGTAGCCAAGGAGTTAAATGTATGAGGGTAATATAGATGAAACAATTGACATATCAAACTGTACCATAAAATAACTGAACATGAGAGATGGCCTCAGCTCCAATTGATATTTTAACCTGCAATTCCAGAGTTTGCTCATCAAGAGAGGACTTCAAGGTCTGAACATGAGCCCATGCCTTGTGTTCAGAATCCCTAGCTTCAATGACATCCCTACAGTTGCAAAATTGAAATATAAGCAACCTAGGTACATGTATTGAATTCAGAAAACCAACATTGAAATCCTAAGCAAGAATACAACAGATATGGTGGAGCTAGGACCCCACTTCACTTGTATTAACAACAACCAGCTTTCATAGACATATAAAACAAACAAACAATCAGGTAAAGAAAAGAAGATTTATTCAATCCCCCCATATTTATATCCTACATTCCCCCAAAAAAATATATATATATATATATTTTACAAAATACTCAAAATTTGAAATGTTAAAATTCTGAGTTTTTTTTTTTTTTAAACAAAAAAAATTAAATTGAGAAAAGGGCAAAAGGAAAAATGGCAGAGAGAAGAAAAGGATCAAAAGGCAACAGCACTTTTGTGACAGCATAACTTCTGCTTCTAGGATACACCAACAACTCCTTCCTAACATTAACACCGTTGTAATTGTTATCCCCAAACTCACAAGGCCTCTCTTCATCAATCCTCCCCATCCCAACACTACAGCTCCTTGGCACCACTCCCACCGCCGTGGACCGCCTCATCTACGTAATTATAAGATTCCATGTGCTCATAGAAAATTCTTACTAGCAAAGGGTGACATGAGCAGACTTTGTATGACTTTTTGGTTCATAATAATTTAATAAAATTGAGTAGGATTGGATTATCAGCTTCATAAATAATTTATCACATGATGCATTGATGCTTGTTGAGACGGACTTGTTCATGTTTGACCTTCTTATTAACTAATAGATAGCAATTATAAGAGTAACTAGTACTTCAAGCACACACTTCATCCCCTAATTTGCAAACTCATATTAATGAATATATTATAGTCAGTTCAATAATTTTCAAGAAATTACATTAATTTTCTTTACAATAAATTTGTGTACAATGATTCTTCACAACAAAGTCAAGACATATACAAGTCCCTACGGATTGATTATATCCCATTCCCATCTAGTTCTTCAACATATTGTTTCCATTATCCTCACCATGAACTCTTCAACAACTTCTGTCAAGTTCTGCAAATTTTCATCAAATAATTTTTCTGTGAACCTCTGCAAAATTCTTGGAATTTCAGGACTAGTCCTCTACTTAGCAGAATTTCAAGAATTTCATCAGATAATTAACTCACCAGACCGAAAGGCAAATCAAGAGGTTGCTGTGACTTGGACGCAACAGACAACGCCAAATGGGTACAGATAGAGAGAGAGAGAAACAAATTGAAGCTTTAAATTACAATTACATTGAAGTGAACGCAAAACAGAATTGATGAATATCATTTTCCAAATATCTAGTCACAAATAGTAATCCTCTACACACAAAATACAACTAATTGAGATTCCATCAAGAAGTATGAACATGAAACAGGAAAACTGGAGTGGAATTTAATTGAGATTCCATCAACAAATTATTATACAGAAAATTGCTCAAACAACGAAATTCTTAAATAAAATGCCCTGGTTTCGTTATCTGACCAAACTCGACGGGAAGGAAGAGCTTGAGAGAGAGAAAGAGAATATGAAACTGAGAGAGAGAGAGAGAGACGGTAGTGCTCACCTTCGTAGACGATGGTGCTCGCTCCTATCGCCGGTGCAGATGGTGGAGGCGGGGGAGTTTCGAAATCTCAAAATCGAAATTGTAAATCGCTCTGAGATTGGATCTGAGATGAATCACCAATCACTCTGAGATTAGATCAAACGGGGTTGAAGAAGGTTGATTCGATCGGTTGAGAGAGATTAGGGTTTAGAGAGGGGAGAGAGAGAGAGAGATCGAGACCCAGAGAGTGAGTGAGAGATAGGGATGACAACGGGGCGAAGTGGGGCCGGGGACTACACTTCCCATCCCCGATCCCCGAAAGTGATATACTCCCCGTCCCCGCCCCCGATCCCCGACGGGGACCCATAGCCCAGCCCCATCCCAGCCCCCGATCGGGTAAATCTGTCAAATATTCAAATCAATAATACAGTTCAGCCTCAGGTAATTAATAATAACAGATATGTGCAAGATTCAACAAATTAAAGATTAATAATACAGTTCACGTGCAAGATTCAAATTAAAGATTATTAAAGATTCAAAACAGATATGTGCAAGATTCAAATTAAAGATTATTAAAGATTAAAAACCATATCGTGCAAGATTCAAATTAAAGATTATTAAAGATTCAAAACAGATATGTGCAAGATTCAAATTAAAGATTATTAAAGATTCAAAACAGATATGTGCAAGATTCAAATTAAAGATTATTAAAGATTCAAAACAGATATGTGCAAGATTCAAATTAAAGATTATTAAAGATTCAAAACAGATATGTGCAAGATTCAAATTAAAGATTATTAAAGATTCAAAACAGATATGTGCAAGATTCAAATTAAAGATTATTAAAGATTCAAAACAGATATGTGCAAGATTCAAATTAAAGATTATTAAAGATTCAAAACAGATATGTGCAAGATTCAAATTAAAGATTATTAAAGATTCAAAACAGATATGTGCAAGATTCAAATTAAAGATTATTAAAGATTCAAAACAGATATGTGCAAGATTCAAATTAAAGATTATTAAAGATTCAAAACAGATATGTGCAAGATTCAAATTAAAGATTATTAAAGATTCAAAACAGATATGTGCAAGATTCAAATTAAAGATTATTAAAGATTCAAAACAGATATGTGCAAGATTCAAATTAAAGATTATTAAAGATTCAAAACAGATATGTGCAAGATTCAAATTAAAGATTTTTACTTTTTAAATTCAAATAATATACATATAGTGAAAAGAAAATTATTTTTTAATTTTTTAAAAAAATCACTAAATTCAAAAAAAATATAAAATTTAATACATTTCATATATATTACATTTTATTATATATTTTTACAAATATTTTATTTTTTTGTTGTATTCAGATTAGGCACATCTAAAAAGTAAAAAATAAATAAATTATTAAAAGAAGGAAAAATATCAAATTAAGGTAATTTAAAAAAAAATAATTACAAATTAATGAGAAGCCAAATAAATATTAATTATTAAAATTATAAACTTTTTTATGAATATGTAATTTTTTATCGCAAAATCCCACTGGGTGCAATTATCCCTCAAAAGAGACACTAAATTATAAAATAACGTATAAATTATTTTTTTACATTGTCCTCAATTAGGAAAATGTAAGGTGAGAAGCTTGGTTAAAATTGCTTTTTTAAATAAAAAAAAATTCGGATTGAAATTTTTTTTAATAAAAGTTTTCACGACATGCTAATGCATGTCGTGTAAAGTTATAATATTTTACAAAATGAAATGTATGTCGTCTTAAGTACAAATATTTTATGACATATTTTTGTATGCCATGAAAATATACATTTTTTACGGCATACTTTTGCATGCCATAAAAAAAAATTCAGATTGAATTTTTTTTTTTTTGCAAAAGCTTTCACGATATGTTAATGCATGCCGTGTAAAGTTATAATATTTTATAACATGAAATGTATGTCGTCTTAAGTGTAAATATTTTACGACATATTTTTGTAAGTCGTAAAAACATACATATTTTACGGCATACTTTTGCATGCTATAAATATATGAATTAACGACTTACATGGTATGTATATTGTTATTGACAAAACATTAACAGCTTGCAAAAAAAAAAAAAAATGCCGTAGAATGTACTGACTACGACATGCATTTAATGTAGGGTAGGGTGCTTTTAGATAGTTAGTATAACTCTCCCACGTAATATACGTATTATATTTGGAAGAATAAGAATTTAATATGTTTTCTCTCTCTCCTAGACTCTCTTCTTTCTCTCTCTATAAAAACACATAATAGCCCTTTGTACTGTGACGAGTGTGAGTAGTTCTAATAGTTTTACTCCATTGCTAAGAATTATTTAAAAATATCAATAAAAACACATAATAGCCCTTTGTACAACGACCAGTGTGGATAGTTCTAATAGATCTACCCCATTGCTAAGAATTATTCAAAAATATCAATAGAAACACGTATGATCTATGGATTTGGTTTGAATGAAAAGGTATATCAAATCCATTTATTTCTGAGGCATAATATTTCTTATATTTCCTACAAAACCAAAGCACAAATGAGCAAAATGAGAGGCAAACTAACTCACAAGTTCAAAAGTCAAATGATTTTTGTCGTCTTGCACATTTAGGTCTAGTTGCAGCTTATTTCCGGTAACTATGCAAGCCTGGCGCACTCTGATACGAGTGCCTGCAACTTGAGCCTCTAATTTGTTATACTGAGATTGCTGAGTCTTGGGATCAAATTCCCTAGCTTTTGGGAGTAAACTCTTCCCCAACTTGATCTCTTGAATTTCCTTCCTCAACTTCATCTCCCAAAATGTTTTCCAATCCTCACTCAAATCTGGACGCATAAGTTCGAAATTCGATTTCTTCATAGCCTCGTTTTGCTTCTCCAGTTCCGAAATCTGATTTGCCAGCCCAATCTCTTCTTGCGATATCTCCATTTGTTTTTCAGATATAAATCTCCTAGTCGTAGAGACAAGACAGATAGCTTACTCACTTCACTACACTACACTACAACCCTAACCTGAGCAGCAGGACCAACGCTGACATAGGCCCTTAGGCCATGGGTTAGGGTACTTCAAAAAAGGACTTGTACTTTAGGGTTGGCTTGGGATGTTCTAAAAAAGTACACTTTTTGACTTATTGACTTATATAGGTTGGGTTTGGGTTGGGTTTGATGTGATGTGTTAGAGAGGTGATGTGATTTAAATCAGATGATGTGATTTAAATAGGATAGTAACTTTTTGGCTTTTTGTATTATTTAGTAGATGCCAAACCCGGCCTTAATTTACTTTAATTTAATGTTATATATTAGGTATGTTTTAAATTTAAAATAAATGTTAAAAAAAACTTAAATTAACTTAAAATAAATTGATCCATTAAAAATTTGAAGAGCCCATTTAAAATTAAAATGACACATTCTCTCTCCCTATCTAATTCCTCACCCTAACTACTCTTAATCTAAATTTTCAACAGTTTGACAGCAGCAAGCAGCCCAACAAAGTAGCGGAGTAGCAACACACAAACAGAGCACACGGAGCAGCAGCAGCACAACAAGCACAAGTAGGTTTTTTTTTTTCTATTCAATTAATTAAATATTTGTATTGTCTTTTTCTTAATTTCTATTATAATATTGGTAATTACATCATCAAGAAGAATTTGTTTAAGTTTAATTTAAAAGTTTAAACTTAATTTAAAAGTTCACATCACATAATTTAAAAGTTTAGTGTTTTGTTAAGTGGTGGTGGTGCTATTTGTTTTGAATTTTGATCTAAAAAAGTATTTTGATCTCAGCTCATCATGACTCTTAAAAGAAATTATCTGCCTGGATTTGCAAAAAGGAAAAAGAAGCAAAGAGTCAAAAAATTGGTCGAGTGTCAAACAGGAGCTATTGATAAGTTCTTTACAAGTGACAAACAAGCAGAACAATTAGTTGAAGACTTGAATAATGTAGAATTTGAAACTTTGGTGAATAATGAGAATGAAAATTTGGTGGATGAAGAAGGAAATGGGGAATTGGGAGTGTAGAAGCCAATCAAGATGATGAGATGAATGTGGAATGTAAGCATTCAAATATAGATGATTTGGGAACTTGGAAAATAATTAACAAGAATTTATGAGATTTTTTAGTTGAAAAAGGTCCTGTGAGAAGAAATTATGAGTTCAACTTCCCTAAGGATGATTCTTCTAGGCATAGGCATTTCTCACATGTTCATTACATTCGGCATTTACCAAATGGAGAAAATTTTGATAGGACATGGCTAATATACTCAAAACTTTTGAATAGAGTATTTTGCTTTTGTTGTAAGTTGTTTAAGCAAGAGGGAAATAAGACTCAATTGGCTACCGAAGGATTTAAAGACTGGCAAAATGTTGGTGAGAAACTTAAAGGACATGAATGTGGTAACGAGCACATTACTTGCATGAGCAAATGGAAGTTAGAGGAAAGATTGGGAAAGCATCAAACAATAGATAAAAGTATACAAGAACAAGTTAACAAAGAAAGAGAGCACTTGAGACGGGTTTTATTGATGATAATTACAGTTGTGAAAACACTTACCAAGAATAATTTGCCTTTTCGTGGAAGCCATGAGAAGATTTATGAAGAGAGCCATGGACTTTTTTTAAGCATAAATGAAATGATTGGTGAGTTTGATCCAACGATGGAACTGCACTTGCGGTAGATAGAAAAGGATAAGATTCATTACCATTATTTGAGTCACAAAATTCAAAACGCTGTGATAAAAATGTTGGCCGAGGAAGTCAAAAGTGCAATTTTGTCTATAATCGAACTAGCAAAATACTTTTCAGTCATACTTGATTGTATTCCGGATATAAGCCATCAAGAACAAATGTTTCTTGCTGTATGATGTGTGGATGTTTCAATAATTCCAATTACGGTGAAAGAGTTTTTTTTTGGAATTCTTAAATGTGGATAATACATCGGGAATGAGACTTTTTGATAAACTTCCAGAAGCATTAGTTAACCTTTAACTTGATATTGGTGACTTAAGAGAGCAAGCACTACAAGAAAAGTGGGTATATGAGACGGGACTATTTGTGACGGCACACTTGCCGTCTCAAAACGTCACTTTTTGCGACGGCAGAAATGTCGTCTAAAAAAAACAGAGTATTTGCGACGGCACCATTTGCCGTCTCAAAAAAGCATAGCATTTGCGACAGCACAATTTGCCGTCTCAAAAAATGAGAGCATTTGCGATGGTATTTTCTGCCGTCGCAAATACTCTGTTTTTTTGAGACGGCAAATTGTGCCGTCGCAAATGCTCTGCTTTTTTGAGACAGCAAATGGTGCCGTCGCAAATACTCTGCTTTTTTGAGACGTCATTTTCTGCCGTCGCAAAAAAGTGACTTTC